TGCAGCGTTACTCGAAGTATTTGGGGTTCACCAAAGTGCACTGAGGTCGGGTGACGCGCTACGGGTTGCAGCATCACAGACTCAACCCGAATACCAATCGCATCGCAGATGGAACTCCACTGGTTGCGATCGCCTTGCAACTTGCCTTTTATTGCGTCAGATTTGGAGTCTGGAACATTGCTGCACACGAGAGTTAACGCAGCATGATTTGTCTAGCGAATGTCGGCTTTATAGTTTTGCCAGCAATTTGGTTTTTTTAGAAGGCACTACTGGACTTGACAGTGAAAGCTGCGTTGCGCCACGCGTGCCCGGTACAGAAGATGGACCTATGTGTGTCGCTCCTGGTGTGTTTGTCGAGGCAATCGATGCGTACGTTACCTGCTTGTTATCTGCATCGGATTGCCTTCGGCTCTGAGCTGTCGGTGTCATGGCTGAATCTTCGAGTGAAGCGTTGATGGTTGGAGAATTGGAAGCAGGCATGTTTGAGCCTTGTCCACTTATGGGAGTGAGGTGACCCAGTAGATTTGAAGTCACAGACACTGCAGTGCGGTTGGAGCGTCTAGTTCCCTTCCTCGGCTTAGATTCAGAGCTTACTTTGTCTGCTTGAGGAATCATTGCGGCCATAATTACCTCCGTTGGATTGGTCTTAGTATCGCACTTTTTCATGAGCAAAGATAACCAGTTGACAACTAGAATAAGTTGACATGTCGAGCAAACCAAATTGTGTCAGTAACTTTGTTTGTCTGTCTCACTCCTTGGACGGAGTTGCCTACACATTGCGGACAGTACGATCTGATGCAGCTAGAACAGGTTACTTTGAGTTTGATGACTTTACTGCAATTGTCTGCGCAACATAGGCGACGATGAACCATTGGGATGCCAGTCGTTCTCTCATGGGTTGCATCGAGACCTATCTAAGCGACCACCTTGATGAGTGTTTATTGCGCCAGGCGTGACGCACGAATAGGTCAGAACACGCACACGAATTGAGAGTTGTTCAACCGCATCAAGGTCAGGCGGTAGAGGCAGATGGAGGTCGTAACGCGCACTGTCGGGTTCAGCGATCAATCGACTCGCAGTGGAACACACACACCCACACAAAGCGGCAGTGTGTGTTAATCGGCCTGCCTTAAGCGACGATGCAGGTAGAGTGCTGCTAAGCGTTCCTGGAGCTGTTCAGTTGATGAGCGGAGCAAAAAGACTAACTTTGTTATGCTGTAATTTGCACGGATGTTTGCTGAGTAGCTTGGGAGCCCTCAGCTTCTTCTTCCGAATGAGACCAAAATCTTTTTCGAAATACCGGTTTGATGTAGTTACACAAGTGGATCTCTGCAAAGAATATGCCTAAAACTGGGAACTGGAGGAAGCATGTAATTCACACCGTTACGTCCAAGAGTTGGGATCCACCTTTCCTTGTCTACTGTTTTCAGCGCGCGTACTGTGTCACAGATGTTTGCTTTTGCTGTGTTGCGAACAATGCCGAAGTTTCAGTCACGTGAACCAATTGCAAGTGCCTTTCCGTTACCAGCCATAAACATGCCGAACGTGTTGGAACAGGCGTGCAATTGCAGTTAGTAATTCCTTACATGTGGAATCACAGTTGCCAACAAAGCCGACGGAGGTCAACGCGCGACCTTTCTGGTGTCGTCAGTGATCCCTTGACCATCTTCCAGGCCGGGCTGTGGTTTGGTGAAACGTGGAGCTTTAATGTGTCTGGTGGAACTCACTCTAGTTTGGCGAGTGTTTGGATGATGACTGCTAAATGAGCTGCAGCTATAAGATGGTGGTGTCTGATTTTTGTAGTAAAGAAATTAATGTCTAGCGCTAAGAACACGCTGCCGAATTAGGATACAAAGGGTTGATGCGCGCTTGGATTTCTATGCAAACAACTGAAATTGAAGCAATGGGTGCAACGATGGTTTGTGCTTGCCAATCCTGTAGTGGTAGATCCAATGGATAGCGCTTGTAAATCCTAGTTGGAAAAGCATAAGCACAATTATGTTCGTCAATAATTGTAGGAGCTAAATCCAAAAGCATCGGGGCATTAGCGCGGTACCAGGACACGGTAACCCGCGTCGCATGTCAAAGAGAAATGCATCTTCACTGATGAGAGAGGCTCAGTCCCTGTCTGCGGCGAACTCCGGCTAGCTCAAGAAGAGGAACGCTTGTGAACGTCCTTGGGCTCAAGATCAGAGGCTGCAGGCTAACGCTAATTATGGCAATACTTAACCAGGGCATCGTTTACCCAAAGCTCATCGAAGATGGTATCTGTAAAGTGCAAGCTTATCGATGTACATGGAGGAAATTTTGGCACGTATATGCTGTAGAGTGGAGATCATAGGTTCATAGCTTGTTATGACAACACAAGAATCCACCTACAGGTGGATTTAAGGTGGATCCTGGGCTCGTCTTAACAGCTGAAGTTCTTGCCTCGCTACTCGTATATCCTAAACCCAGTAGAAAACGTGTTTTCATAGGTGAACGTGTCGGCGAGACGCATGCCAATCAACCTGGCGTCTAACCAGACGCTAAGTGTAGCCATTTAAGAGGGCGTTGAAACGTTAACTTTTGCGGAGCTCACTCTGCTGAGCGAGACTTGCACAGATTTCGCCGGGCGCACTTCAGACATACTATAGCCATGTGGCGACCTAGACTGACTTAGTAGCAAACTAGCCGTCTCAAGGACATTGATGCCAAGACGCAGTAAACCAACTGAGCTCCAATAAGGACACTTACGCGTCTATTGTGTAGGCTGTAGTAACGCCACTGAACTCCTTATGGCAATACCATATGTATCGGGTGAAGCCGCAGTGTATTATCTTACCTCTACATTTGCAACAACAATTGCTGCATAAAACCACACTGACACTAACTGCGTTCACCCAGAAACACTACCATGTGGCTTGCCAACGTCCACCTTCCTCGAGCTTATGCATTACATTGCCATCCTATTGAGCAATACATATGTAGGTGTATAAGGTATGCTTCGCCTTGACTTAGTCAGTAAAAGAACACTGGCTAACCGCCAGTATGTCTTTCTCGTGTGGGTCTCCGTACAGTCGCACTAGGTTAGGTGTTTTTCCTCTCTTGTTGCAGACCGCGTGTACGTCTTGCGATTAGGCCCCGTTAGCCTCTAAAGTTCCCAATTCGACTCGCTACTCCGCGCGCAAGAAAGTACGCCCGTTTCGACAACAAGTCTAAACAGCTAGGATGCGTTATTACAGTAATGTAACAAGACTGCAGAAACCCTGTCCTGAATATGACACCGAGCCTAACAAACGCAACAGCCGGACAGCGCTTCATCAGCTGAGCGTCTCCAACAATTATGCTTTATTTCATGGTAATATACCATTTTAATCTTAAAGTGGGCGGTTTTCAAACCAAACTGCCAAGCTTAGTAAATAGGCGTAGGGTGTGTAACGATAAGTCAATGGCGTAACTCTGTCGTGGCACTAATGATGAGCTCTAGCTTGTACTGGGGCAACTAGAGCGCATTCTTTAGCCCTCCGAGGGTGCTGAATACAGTAGACACGGTATGGTGGATCCTGTTCTCACTAAGCTGCTGCTGCAGCTATAGCAAAGTGTCCTCGGAATGCTCTTCAACGGTCTCTTAAGCGCGTTGTATGAAAACGATAGTCAGCTACTCCTCGTTGTTTCCTCCGCATTTGCACTGGCATCTTCTCGCGTGTATGCAATGATGATGTTGCTTGCCGTACTTTCGTTGACATTGGCGACTTCATCAGCTTCGTGGGGGTTTTGCCGTCGATGAACACAGGCTTGAGATGCCGATGACGTTTGCTTGTACTGTCGCTGCCTCGGAGATGCGTCCTTTAGTCGTTCAGCGCGCGTCGCACATTTCGGTCATTACATTTAGCACAAGGTTTATATACATAGCTTGGGATTGGTGAAGTCATAACAGCCTACACTGTTCCAATATTTGCGCAGCCTCATAGATTCGCCCACACGCACACATAATGCACGAAGGCCTAAAGAGAGACAGGAGAAAACTTGGCCACCTCCTTTGGCCGAAGTGAACGAAACCTATGAGCAAGAGAAGGGATTGTACAATCGGCCGCTGATTACACAGTTCGGTTTCTTTAGCATCATCACGATGTGGTCTTAACATCTTCCTGTAAACTTATTACTCATTTCTTGCTATCGAATTGCACCATTCCTGCTTAGAATGCTAGGTGTCTTATTCGATTTGAATAAATTCTCATTTAGCTTACAAAACGTCTAGTTTGTTGTGGTACGTTTATTTGTTGCTGAACATCGAATTTAAATTAAATATGGAACATAACGAACCACATATTTTTGTGCTGACATTCAATTACTATATCATAATTTCTTTATGCATCGGCGCATCTAAATAGCTAAACCCTTAATCCATAATTCGCATATATTTTAAATTTGCAGTTTTCGTCCCAGCTACCTTGGCAACTTGTTAAACGCTTGATCGTTAACCGGGATAAATCAATTGACATCTTTCATCCTTGACAAATCGAACAAAAATGGTAGCACTTCACTATGTATGCAAAAACAGCAGATCGGGCGTATCCACCCACCAGAATCAACAAACTGTAAGTCAGATCGATAACAAGTCGACTTAAGTCATTTACCACGTTTCTCTAAAACTAACCCACATCTTGATTCCTATTTAAAGACACGGCAAAATAGACGTCAATACAGGTCTGTTATAGGCAGAGAACCGTTTCCAAGTATTTCTGACCGCTGGACTGAAGAAGACTCATTTAGCTATCGTACTGTCGAACTACGCTGGCTACCAGGAGAATGACTTTGTTGGGAATAAGCGTACATTCAAGGTTATTCATCGTAAATGTAAACGTTATTAAATGTCTAAACAACTTGATGTTATATTTTCGACTTTCTGCAGCAGTACAATTGCGTCATTCTAGAATCCGTGAGACGCAAGCATTAGATATCCACTGAAAAATAAGGACTAACAAACAAATCAAGATGAATTTCATTTTCCACTGCAGGAATAGTATTTTTATCTGGCGGCATGTCCGAAGTAGAAGCCACTCAGAACTTGAACGCAATCAACTGTATCCCTGGCCGCAAACCATGGGCTTTGTCTTTCAGTTTCGGGCGCGCCCTTCAAGCATCCGTCATTCAAACCTGGGATGGACAAAAAGCAAATGTAATTAGTGCTCAACAAGAATTTCTCAAACTCGCGCAGGTGAGGAGATAAAACGGTTGCAAATTTTAAGGTTCCGTACGATGCAATTAATAATATACACCCTATTCCTGAATATTTGTGGTCGTCAAGCCAGGTAACTGAATTCGACACAACGGCAAAACCAACTGCAGGCTGCAGACTTTTAACTGCGTCTTCCAGTCCCGTAAACGAGCAGATCTCTTAATCAACGTAGCGTTTCTGAGGTCACTTCGGTTGTGTATTGAAAGCAGCATTTATGAATATTTCCTAAGTATGATTACAGGATCCTGCTTTTAATAGCCGCCTTTAACCACATGTCTGCATTGATCGGGCGTGCGATTTAACGGTGGGCGTTTATCAACAGCGCTGGCCATTGCTATACATTCAGATGATTCTTCCCAATAAAGGGACTAAATTTTTGATGGTGCCCTGGACTACACCATAAGAGCGCACAATTAGGTAGCTTTATTAAAGAGAACTATGGAGCCACATATTTCAATATACAGTTAGAAACTTTTCAATTTTATCTAACCACGAAGTGTTCTAACAAGTAGACACATGAAGTAATTTCTCGTCCTTAGCTTCAGACACTAGTACAGGAAGTAACTAAATTATTTCACTAAACTCATAGGTCCCAAAGCACAGATCATTCCCCTAGCAAGCAGATTTGAAGAATATGTGGCAGTCCACATCCTCAGTGATCTGAATAGATTTTACAAAGGAAATGGCCAAGCTTAGGATGGTTGGAGGAAGCAAAATGTTACCAACTTGTTCGTTCAATGTTTCGGAATAAGCTTGGAACCGTGTGTAGTCAATAATTTTGGAAAGTTTAAACATAAAAAGCGGTTTTATATAGATTTGTATTGATGCTAGTTTTGCGGTGGACGCAATAAACAAAAGCTCTTGCGTCGCCAGCAAATGGTAGCCGCAATTCAAGCAAATGTAGAAACGCTTTGCGTTCTAAAACCAGAAGAATTTAGAAATTTGTTTCATTTTTGTCTACGTTAGGGTCGCCAAAATATGAGGGTCACCTTTCTTCAGTGTATCTTTACCAGCGATAAGTTGTCAAACTGTGGTTCGATAGAATGTCTTTCGTGCCCTTGTCAGCTGATATTGTTGCGGACGATATGTACTTACTCTGCTTTGAGGCCAAGTGTGCAGTAGTATTGGTAAAATTGGCAGTGAATTGACACACCAACCGCGTGGTCATTATAGAAGGATTAATTACTGATTCCATCCCTATGCAAGATGTATTAATTTGAACAGTATGCGCCAAAACTTCACAGTTACATTCACACGCTTATTTCCTACAGGCAAACGGAGCTGCCTCACTAGGAAAATTCGAAGGCAATCTACAAACCGTCGCTGGTGGACAATCATTGTTTGTGGCGAATCACGTATACTGAACCAGACATCCTACGCAAGGAAGTGATGCTAAAGAATATATATGGATTAAGGAATACGCTGACCAGACAATTCTTTTTGGGACTGTTTTTCACGTGGCTTTTGCTTTGAGGACGCGTGTTGTTTTGGCTAATTAAAACGACACGGCGCAATATAACGGTATTTAGTTCTGACATTCCATGCAGCTACTTGAGAAAGCATACCACCTACCAAAAATATGCAAATGAAATGAAAGGATGACATGCAGTGTGATATATTGCAAGAGACATGACTGCATTTCAAAATTCAGATAGGTGCAGAGTAGCTTTTATTTTGAATTGTAAATTTGCTTTTTTTGTCCTGGCTATAAATTAACGATCCCGATAGAGATGCTAGGTGTAGCAAGCAATGCGATCAAGCAATGTACACAAGCTGAGGCTCTAAGAAGGCCGTTGCTTGCATCAAACAATCGCACCCAACATGCAATTCAGTTTTCCGCCCCGATCACGTAATTGTACAATGGGCTAATAATTTAACTTGGTATTTGACACAACGAACTAAGGCGTTTAGGTAATCCCCAGACCGCTACATAGCGTTCACCCAGAAGGAATAAATACTCCTTCAATCTACCTGAGGACTGCGCATTGCCAGGTAGTGTCCTACGTCCCCGAGCCACCATGCCGAGCCAATGGGCCTTTTAGTCATATGTACAGTACTCGATGCAGCTACTTGGAAACACAAATGCAAGCGGATCTTAGCTGGCTCCTATCCATGTCCTCGCTATGGTTTCGAAGCCACAAAAGCGTTCATAGAATCTCGAGTAACTGACTGAGGGAGGGGTTCATTGTGTCTCGAGTTGAGGTACGGGGATCTGGCGGAACAATGAAACCAGCCGACTGTGTGCATATGGAAATTAAGGCGGAAAACAGCAGCGAAAGCGCGCAGAAGCATCCAAAATTGCGTGCTTAGAACTGAAAACATGGTTTTTCAAAAACGTTTGTTCATTTATCGAAACAACGTTTCATTTGATTTTGTGTATTTTTAAGGCTTTCATAGGAGCATAACGACGGGATATGAAATTGTGAAAAGTGCTGTAGCAGAAATAGCAGAACCTATAGGAAACTTAAAAGCGCACAGTGTGTTTGGCTTCCATACCACATTGGTTGATTACGTGTCGAGTAGCTGCGAGGTAGGCTGTATCTGAATTTTCTGCTGGAGCAGCTTGATTGTTCTGATGTTCTCGAACTGGCCTTGAAGATGCAGCCTGAGGCACATGTTGCACCGGAGCAACCAGTTAACTACGTGTGACTGCATTCTACCTTTCCTCCTACTTATCATACACACGAGTGCGTACATACATTCTACGCAGTTTAATCAGCGCTATTTAGTGCATATCTTTTGGAGCTTACTCGTACGGATAACCTTTTACTTCCACATCGGATTATTTGCAATCTTCTCGAAGGAATACACAGGCGTGCTTGTCCAAATCCCGAGCTGCTTGGCAACATTTGTGGTCTCAAGTGAAAAACAAATCTGAGACCAACACGACGAGCCATTCACTATAGGTGTCGACAGCTAAATAAAAAAGCTATCAGATATTTTATGTCCCCTATTGCTCAGTCGCTTCGTTCACACAGAGTGAATTCTGAGCCAATTACCTAACAATCTAAGTTGCCACGCATAGCTTAGTGGTGCGTCTCACCATGCTACGGAGGCGCTGGCATCCGACAGTCAATTTCTCGCGCACTAGACAGGCAGGCAGGCACGGGGGGCAAGCGTTCATTTTTTGATATTTGACGCACTGGGTATTACCGACCAAACCAAATGAAAATGACGCATGATTTTTCTACATGCCGGAAAAGTGTTACAGGCAGGAAATCAGTGTTCTAATAGCCTTTGCAAGCTTCATCCTAAATGATGAAGCTGCACAATTGTAGACCAGATTTTCTGTGGTTCTGTGCTGTATTTATGGTCATCCCCTGTAGGGATACCAAGAAAACACTGTTTCTCCAAGGTCTGCTTTTCTCAACATTTTGCGTAGCCACCGAGGAGGTAATCTGTCGAAGATTTTGCATGTGTATGAATACTGTTTTCGAAGTTTATGGCATACATTGTGTGGTTTAATATCTTGCACAGTACCGACATTACAATAACCGTTCTACGACCTGCTGCTAGTGTTTTCTACATTCAAGAAAACAAGTAGTACATCATTCACTATTCGTTCTAATATTATGAACATGATAGGCGTGTGACGGGTGCGGCGAAAATATTGGACTCATGAGCGGTTCCATTTTTGTGCCGCAGGACAATAATGGGAGTTTCATTTACTAGGATGTGCTCCATTGTTAAAAGAGAGTGTAAAGTTGTTGGGTGAAAGCATGGGCAAGTCCCTTTTTTTATAAACGGTGTTGGATTCTATTAGCTCCTCTGGAAGTCGAGGAGCGTAATTAGGAGAATTGGTCAGTGGATTCCACTGTGCATAGGCTTTCATTGAGCCTTGCGCCGGAGAAGTTTGTCGACCGGAAATCTAATGAACGACAATCCCAAGGTCAGTCTCAACTCCGACAAACGGGGAACAGAGATCATCTCTCAAATCACATGATCGTGCTGGGCCAATTTTTACGAGGCAACAAATGTGAATAATAAATTTAACAGAAGTAACAGCTTATCGACAGATAGGTTGTCGTGCTGTGACGTGTGTTCAGTTAGTCCCATAATTAAGATTGTGCAGACACTTACGACAAGGGGTGAAATGTTGTCTGTTGGCCGGCAGAGCAAAAGGAACTAAATGCGGTAGTAGGAAGGAACTCTCTGAACTCGAGTTGAGGATTAGTTTATTACATAGCCGCAATCCAAGACCTGTTAGAAGAGAAAGCTCTCTAGCAGAAATTCCACAGCGTGCTGTGAATGGCAAACAACGCTGGTGACAAACAGTAGTGAAGACAGGCTGGTCAAACGGTCTCCCAATTCTCAGGAAATGCTGCAAAGGATGCAGTTATGCACGGCTTACACGATCACCTCCGTCATTAGCTGGGCAACAACGTTGGACTCCTACAGATATTTTAACTAACAGCGTTGCACGTAAACAGTCTTGCTGTAGCATTGGACTGTCTTCCACGGAAGCTAAGGCGAATACTTCCACACGTATAATCTCTGCTCACAAGGCACTGCAGAACAAACAATTACTTCGCAGCCGAAAGGCCTTGAAAGATATATGTTCAAAGGTTCTAGAACCCTTTAGAGGAAGGCTAAAATGTGGACAAATGGAGGAGCAAAACCGCTAACCTGAGATAAGCTGTGCATTCGGACTGAAAGTTCTCCCAACTAGTCTTACTTGCTTTTCATTGCCAGGGTTTGTTTGAGTTTCATACACTCCCATCTGCTTGGAAACGTTGAATCAACACTCTGATATACAAAGGAGGTAAACGACCGGATCCTGCCAACTACCGACCTATTACTCTCCTACCTGTTTTATCAAAAATGATGGAGGCGGCAATTGCAGATGACCGGACGCGTTATTTTGAAAGTCCGCAATCAAGTTCTAATGTACAACATGGTTTCGGACGTAGACAATCTTGCTTCACAAATCAGTTCGTTGCTCAAGATTCATGGACCAGGGTAGCTGATGAAAGAGTCCCAAAGACGTGGGTTACTTAGCTTTTCGTGGCAATCGGCAGGGTCCGTCACTTCCTTCACTTCCAAAAGCTTGCTGCCTACGGTATCAACGGTTCCCTGCTCACCTGGTTAGAAGACTACTTACACTACAGAGCAATGAAGATAAGAGTAGCTGACACTCACTCGGCAAGCCTATGCGTCTCCATTGTTGTAGAGCAAGGATGCGTCCTCGGCCCGCTACCGTTTTTAGTCTACATTAATGAGATTCCAGCAGACATTCTATCCCCGATGCAAATATTTGCAGACGATACTAAAATATGGAGAGCAATTCGCTCAGCATCCGACCGAGGTTATCTTTAGGAAGACCTGACTCGGATTAACCAATGGGCAGAAAGGAACCAGCTCCCACTGAACCCTGCAAAGTGCCACCTGCTGACGGTGCGCAACAGGTTCGTCAACACATGCCTTTTGGGGCGACACGTTGACAGCTGGGCGAGAAAGCTGATTACCAACGCGCTCGTGTTTGCCACAAATCGTACTTGGGAAAGACCTTGCAAGAGCGTTGTCAGGGTCCGACCGAAAGGTGATGAAATCGCGCATCAGACAGCAGGCGGGCTGCCAAGGCCTGATCGGAAGCTGATGAAATCGCGCGTCAAACATCACGTGCGCTGCCATGCACCGGGTAGGCGGACGAAGACTCGAGTGCCGGAGCAAGACGTTGAACTGGACAGACGGAAGCGGGGAGCGTGAGCTTACAGCCGAATCCGCCTGGTGATGTTTGGAGGGTTGGTGAGACCGACATATGAATATGAGCGTTCTCTGTCCTTATACAACTCTGGTCTGCTGAGTCTTCTTCTTTCTTCCAATCCTGTCGGGTTTGTCAAGGCGTCAAACAGAGCAGGCATAAGGGCGCAGATTTACCAGCAGACGTGAATCAACCGGTCGATTGCGGGCACAGCGTCATAACACACGTTCTGCAACACTTGACTAGTGAACGCGATCTAGGTGTAATCGTGCATTAGAGTCTTGGTAATTCACTCCTATGTTCGAAGGCATCAAGTGTGGCGAACTTGAATTTGAGACTTGAGGCGAGCTCTCAGCACCTTTGAGCGACGGCTAGTACCATTGCTGATTAACTCCTACACTAGCCCTTACGTTGAATACGCAATTCCGGCCTGTTGTCCGTGGTTACAACGAGACATTCGCTTATTGGAACAACCCAAAAGAAGAGCCACAAAGGCAACATGTGGACCGTCGTGTCTAAGTTACGAACTGCGTCTTTGTGTACTTGGTGTGTTCTCATTAGCATACCCACGGCATCACGGAGGTCTTACTCTCAAATACCGGATACTAACTGAAAGCAAGCATCCATGTACTCCACTGTTGACTCTAGCCCCTTATAAACAAAGCCGAGGCAACCACTTGAAACTGATGATGCAACACTCCCGTCTGAATTGTAGAAAGTATATTTACTCACTTAGAATATGTTCTCAGTGGAATGCATTACCAAGATATGTGGTTATCTCACCAGACATGACGAAATTCGAAAAATACTCAGACTTTTATATTAGTAATAAACGCTACACAACAGTTTGGTAAAGTGCAATGGTTTAACCATTGATACTTCACGTTCCAAGTTGGAACAATTTAATTTTAATTTTCTTTTGCACATATATCATGTAGGTCTTGTAAAGTTATGTTTTTATCCAATCATGCACTATTGAACTATTATATATATATATATATATATATATGTATATATATATATATGTATATATATACTGATGTTGCATTCTTGATGCCTCTTCATCGCGGTTGGGCTTAACCAACTTAAACTAGGTCTATTTAAGCTGGATAAATTTCATTCACTTATTTGGTTTGCTCTGCCTACCTGAATAATCTTCTATTAACTGGTCAAGTAGCTTACGCTAA